CCATTCAATTTTCAAGATTTTGACAAGGGCGTCGAGTCCTTGCTTCATTAGAGTGCTTACCTAGAAACCCGGTTGAGAGCGCAGATCTCAACTTTTAAATTGAAGATTTGCCATGCACCCACAAAAGTTTTGTGCTCTTTATAATTGTTTTCTAGTATTGTTAAACAATACTGGTACTGGTACTATAATTACGGTGCTAAAAAAACGTTTAGAAGACCTACGAAAAGATTACTATTTCAAAAGAATTCCTTGATAAATCTACAACACAGCACGAAACTTTAGCAGATACCGGGCAAATTTGCTACTCAGTAGTTTAGAGTGTGCTCCGCCCCAGCCTTCTTCAGGCGTGATTGGCGTCGCCTAAGCAAGCTGGACACAAACCCGCCTGCCGGGGTAGAACTTCCCCGCCGCCTGCTGTTTTGTCCGCTAATTGCTGTACTCTTTCCCCCGTCAGCACAATAGTTCGCCCCCTTCCGCAGTCGCTCGTTATCGTGACCTCGTCTACCCGTCCGCGCCCCCTGCTGCTCTCGAGACAAAGAAGGCCCGCTGTTTGCATGCCGCGTCACTTCCACGGCTACGCGCCCCGCGGGCGCCTCTATCGCGATGGGACGACTTCACCGCACCGCTCTGGTGGCGCTGGCTGGACACCGGTCGAGGGGTCCCCTACTTCCAAAACAGCTGTACGAGTTGGCGAGTAGACGAGTTTGTACGAAGCAGGAGCGAGTTGGGCGAGCGAGTTGGGCGTATTCTTTAAAGAGAGTTTAGCGCAATTTTAAGCAAAATTTGTCGGGAGTTTTTTGTGATTTTTGTGAGCAATATTGCAATATTTTGCAAGTAAACTTAGTTTTCGCGAGGTTTCGCGAGTTTTCGCGAACGCGAGTTGAGCCGCGAGCAAGTGTACAAGATGTTGGCCCCTCGTCACCGGTGGCGGCTGGCGCAGGACGACATGCTGTGCATGCTTTGAGATGAGCTAATGTCCGAGAAGAGTGATTTAAATCCTAAATCGCCTTTTAACTTTTCCGCGTGGCGAGGCCACCCCTTGAGCTAAAACGATGTTCGTTACTTTGCTGGCAATAATTGAAACACTTCGTCTTACTTTCTAATGTTCTCATAAAACAATCCGTCCGTTACCGCAATTAGCCACCCCTGGTCCCGCGCCTCCGCGCAACCA